AGCTGGCTGAACATAAAAGGACTAAAAAATATGGAAACACTTCCACTTGCCAGCCTCCATTATGACCTTCAGGATGACCTATCTAAAATAAGGAAAAAAGTGCTTTCATCCAGTACCTGAGATCAAAGTTTGAGTCATCGCCCCTCTAAGTATGTGCAGCACAAGTACTCCACGTCCTCACTGAGAGGATGGAAGCCATGCGCCATGTGGACAGGAGGTGCAGAGTGTGACCATCTGTGCTGTTGCTAAGCCACAACTGTCCCAGAGGGTCATGGCATCCATCTGCGATGGGTGAGCGAGGGTGGAGGTGCTGGTAATGGGGATGATGAGACCATGACAGATAGGGAAACCGAGTCTCCAGGATGGCCACCCTCATTTCTTGAAGGAGGAATCAGATAGCATACTTCGATATGAAAACATTATACATCTCAAATGTAATTAAGAAGTTTCTACTGGCATGAATACATAATGCACACATTGCCTTGCAGATGCCTTTTTTGCCGACAGGCTGGTGCCGACTTTAATTTGGAAGAAATCCATTTTCATACAAAGGTAACCAAGAGTGACAGGAAATAGGAAACCTACATCATTTATCTTCTGTGAACTTAAAAAAAAATCAGTTAATTGCTTTTCTAGGAAGCTATTTTGTGGAATCACGGTGCTTCATCTTTCTACTCTTATTTGTGGCATAAAGTGATTTTAGAATGCCCGTCATGAAAATGCTATGATTAATCAATACATCTTAAGCCATTTAATCACTTATTTTAACAAATAAAATTCTGATCAACTATAAATGGTTACTGTGTTCTTGTGGATGAGTTATCAACCACTGCTAAAACTCCTAACACACTGTCTATAAACTGATATTCAAATTTAGTTGTCTCTCCTCATCACTGACGAAGCTATGGGCGGCAGCCATTAGTTTCCTTTGCTTCCCCAGCTTTTCAAATGAGTTCCACTCCCAGCCAGCAGAGCCCTCTGCAAGAGCAGTTTCAAATCATTGCTATTTATTAAATTAATAGCAAACAGAAACTAAAATGTGTATGTTTTGGAATACCACTGCTGAAGCTATAACTTGCCAAATGACCAACTACACAGCCCAAGACACCCATACTTTGTTTCAAAGGCTCTGCATATTAGGTTTTTCATAGTACTGCCCTATTTTACCCTTGTCTATATCACCCAGAATATAAATATTATTTTTAAATTTTAGCAGGTTTGAGGCTAATATGAAGCACTTTTTTCAAATCTAAAATGATCATTGCAATAATTATCTCTCATTATTCCATAAGCCAAAGACAGATACACCATTAAGTTAATGGCATTTAAGCTTCGGAGCTTCCAAGGCCCCAGGAGGGGCCCTAGCCATGTGGTAACATGGTTATATGTTTTTGTAAAAACTGCATGTGTAAGATATTTTTCTACTCTTTTTTTCCTAAAGATGACCCCCACGACTATAAATTTTAGGTCCGACAAACCTGTAATTGCCCTTCTAGGTTAACCAACCCCAATGTCTAGATCTGAAATTACATGTTAGGGGCAAAATATTAACATGTATATGTGCGAAACAAAAATTAATTCACTTCGATTAGAAATAAAAATTAGTGTGCCCTGTCCTAAAACATTCTAGAATGCATGCTTTGGCCACTTGTTAAGTCCCTGTCTCTCACCTAACAGTAGAAACCTACCCAAGTGGCACTCCAGGGGAGACTCATTTAATGAGGGGTGGCATCAAGAATAAAAGTCTCAGCTACAACAAAAATATGTTTTTCATTAAACACAAAACCGAGCCAGGAAAAAACCAGCCAAGAGGCAGGTGTATCAGTTAAGGAATTCTCTTGAGGTCTTTAATTTCCACATCAAATTGCACTGGATTTTTCTACACTGATTACCTATTATTGAAGACTAAAGAATTATAACGAATAATTTGCCATGGTGGCAGATACAGTGCAGATGTTGTAAGAAAAAGAATGAAGAGTTTATGAAGTGTAAAATCAGGCCAAAGAAATTCACAAACTCCCAATTTTTAAAAATAACATAGAATTATTTTTCTACTACAAAGATGAAGAAGGCGAGGGAATTTTCCTAGGGCTAGAAGACCAATTTTAAATTTAGTTTGGACTGTGAGAAAAATTGCAAATTAAAAGCTGAGACTGGAGTCTAATTTATTCAATTCATGTGAATGTCCTGGAGGCAGAAATCACATCTTAGCTTTTTTTTTTTTTTCCATTTCTTACATCACATTGCACCTAGTCATTGATTTGATTTTCTTATGAGGAATGCCAAAAAGCTATTTTTGCACCCCACCCTTTGTTTTTACATCATTTTTACCTAACACATCCTTTCAGCCCCCAAATTCTTCACACCATGATAAGTCTTGCTCTATAGCTAACATCCTGAAAAAGTGTAGTCAAGTAATGCAAGTTCCCTTCAGGTCAATTCTCTGTAATTTGCTTTTAATTTCCCTAAAAAAACACCTTCCCTACCTCACTGGAAATTAATGTCAGTGTTATTCAGAGGACATTTTCATACCAGTGGTATCTGTATTAAAAAAATATAGAGGCATGAATATTTTTAACATTGTTTGCCAGATTAAATTGTTTTACCATTTCTAAAAAATAAAAGCATATATTTCCGCAAAAGTAAAATCTGGTCGACAAAATTCTTTAGCTTCTATGGTATGATTGTGGATTTTATAGGAATGGCCTATAAATAGCGAACAATATACCTCAAAATGGTATTTCTTAATCTTCTCTTGGAATATTGTCAAAAAAAAAAAAAAAAACCAACCCCCAAAACCCTCTGAGTATGAAGGGTAGGAAAAGAAACTTATAGATACTACTCTGCTGCTAACTGTAAAAGAGTCCTTTTCCTATTGCAATAGTGGGGTGATTAAACAGACAAGTGTTACATGATTCAAATTACAATATTTTTCATAATATGAAAAGCCTTTTACTAAAAGAAGAACGTCATCCCTTCCCCCCCCCAAAAAAAAACCCCGACGAGTTATAACTCTATTCTACAAACAATACCTCTTCTTACCTCTTCTCTGTCAATGCATGATTGGCCTCTTTGAAGTATTCAGTGTAGAATGTTAGGAATGGATCAGGTTGGCTGGTTTAATGTCATTACATGCAGGGGAAATTAAACACCTTCTGTATAAAAGCTCAAATTTCTCTCAGTGTGACTCCCTGTCTTGGGCATTTCCCTCTTTCTGTGATAACTGAACACTAGTGCACAGCATGTCATGCCCAATCTGGGGTCCTCAAAGGGCATCCTGACAGTATCCAAGTTATTAATGACATACCCAAAGCCTTATGAAAGCTGTACAGTTCTCTGCATAAGGTTGTACTGGCTATCAAAAATAGTAATCTATTCCTTTTAACCAGAGTTTTAACAATTCACTTGGTTCCAAAATAAATAAATAATTACCTTATTATTAAATTATTACTTTAATAAAATTAAAGTTTCCTTGGTAGGTAAACCCTTTTAATAAGGAGCTCATTGGGATTAAAATGATCCAGGGATTCCTGGTGGTTGTAAAAGGATTAGCCATGCTTCATCTGCCAGTACAGGTCATTTCATGATGATAATGGCAAAAATCAAAGAGCCTGATGAATTCAGTTTTGTAAGGTGGTATTTACATGTATTTCCAAAAACTTTTAAAAACCTAAATGCCTGTAGAAATTACCTTTTGCTTCCATTAATTTATAATGAATACTTTTTAGAATCCATTATAAATGGGTAATCAAAGGAAGTTACTGATATGCATGTCACTTCATTTCCACATTAAAATCTGTAAACATCTCACACAGTAAAAGGGTACCTTCTCTAAGAGTAGTATGTGTCAGTGGTAAGCTGCAGGACGACAGCTCAGAAATGTTGAAGCTCAGCCTTGTCCAAAAGGCAACAAGAAATGTAAAATCATTTAGTTCATTTGGTTATTAAACCAAATTAAGATACAAGGACTATTCTGGCCACATTGTTATTCTCTCTTTAAAGAATATGTCAAAAAACCCCAACACGAACAGTTCCTAAGAACAGTGTTCTAGAACTCACACTTTATTTTAGTTAGTATACCATAACACAACAAAACAACAAAGGTGCACAATCGTATTTCTTCTTCATGTGTTCTTGACGACTATCATCAATTTGTTATATAATATGAGATGCACTTCTCTAAAACAAAACTTCATTCCACCCAGATTTACCCTTCACGTGACTAGTCGGTGCATCTTTGCCATCTCCATAACTCTATGACTTGCTTTTTTAGAACTCTAATACTCAATACACCCACGCCATACATGCTGTAATGCAATGAATACTTTAGAATAAAATCAGAATGCCAACCAGAAGATTACGAACTAAAATGTTTCACTTTTCTCATATAATCAAAGATCACTTCTATAGGACAAGGAGAGTTCGAGTAAGAATTATGATTAACATGAATGAACCTGGATCTAAATATTATAATATGGATGGGATATCTGATACATATGAATATTCACCGTATTCAATATTGAATCATTTAAACAATTACTTCAAAAATTATTATGAGTTTTATTCTGTGAAATTTGTCCTGAGCTATTTCAAAACTGACAAAAATGTTGAGTTTTCAAACTCTTTTACATGAAAATTAATCTCTTTACATATTAAAAATTATAGCCTTTGAAGTGCTTTTATTTCTAGTATGTAGTATCTCAGTCAACACTGGCTTATTCATAAAAATCCCTTGAAATATAATGAAGAGGCATTCCTTCCTCAACACACCCACACACACCCCTGCACTTGGTACCTAAAAAATTGCAATGATAATAAATTTGAGATTTTACAAAAATATTATTCATGTTTGCCTCCCCCTTTAGTGACTGCTACAAATTCTAGCACAAGAAATCAGCCACATCTCTGAAAAAAAGAAACATGGAAACTGAATTCACAACAGTCGAGCAGTCACTTATAATTACTGAGTTGCACATAAGTGGTATTGGGAGAAGACTCACCTCCCCCTGCTTGGGGATGCTGAACTTGGAAAGCTTGGCCTTGGCTCTGGCTGACTCCGGCTTGCTGGCTGGGACCCCCCTGTATGACGTGCAGTGCACACTGGCTTCTGTAGATGACTTAAGCTTTGGAGATTCATCAGGAGCCTGATCTTGGCCGTCCATCGGCCGCACATATGCGGTTGGTTTCTGCTGGACCAGGCTGGGTTTTGAAGCCAGGGACGGAGGAAAGTTCTGAACACAGTGTCCACTGCTGCTGTGCTTGGCCGCCATGGCAGGTGGCCTCTCCTGGGTTTGAAGACCCACCTCCATGTTGCACACTTGTTTGGTCCGTGGCTGCTGTCTGCCAACACCATCTCCAAGCAAGGTCCTGAGAGAGCCCTGTTGTGCTGAGTTGGAAGAAGAAAAAGAAGAAGAGGAGGAAGATGAGGGGTTTGACATACAGAGATTAGGTTTTATATTATGGTTCTTGCGGTTAGCAGATTTGTGCAAATCAGACAACCTGTGCCTGTTCTTACTTGCTCTCTGTTGGCCATCAGGTGGCGGGTGCCCAGCCTTCTGCCAGCCCATGGTACCCCTCTTGTTCTGCTGCACGGGGACAGCTGCTGGTGTGGAAGATGCAGTGCTACAGACAGACGAGGGCTGGGTCTGGGCTCTTGAATCTGCAACAAAATGTTCATCAATCTTGTTCACGGGAGTCTGAGGAACCCCAGGTTTGGGAACGCCAACGAGGTGACTCTGGTTGGATCTATCAGTTAAAAAGTCCTTCATTTCATCGTAATTGCCTAAAGTATTCTGGATCCGGTTGGAGAGTTCATCCCCCTTGTTAGTCTGGAGAAAGAAAAACATATCCACGCTATTGTTGGAGACAACAGAAACTCAGGAAATAATGAACAGGTGCCATTATTGGTCACAGAGCCAGGGCTGCCACATTCAGAATGAGAGCCGAGAGATAAAATCGAAATCCTTATCATTTCTGAAGATGTCTGTCAGCACTCTGCAACACACCAGAACTGGAAACCTGTAATGGCTGTAGAGTACACGAAAAAGGTATCCTTGGTATTATGTTGCAGCTACCAGGAAATCAGAAAATTCACTATTGTAACTACACAAAATGGTTTGAATCTAGGACTGGATTTTCTTTTCTCTTTTGTAGTCCCACTGGAAGCTTTTCTTGAAAATTCAGATTTGGCTCAGGATTGGCCTGCTTCCAATTTCTAAATACATAATTATTCTTGTCAAAAACCCAGAGTGACAGGAAAGAGAAGTCAGGGTGAACATGGGGCTAAATATGCAGGAAGCCACCAGCCTGAACTACCCATAGCTTTATGCATCCTAAGATATTAGTGACATATGTGAAGATATCTCATTTTGGAGGAGAGTTTTGGCTTTTGGTAAAACAGTTTCTTTTTCATTAGCCCTAACAGATACCCTGATCCTAGCATGATCCATGCGTGATAAATATGAAACCCAACCTCTTTTTAATACTGTTTGTTTCCTAAGAGCTTAGAAAACATAATAAAGGGCACTGCCTTTGAAATATCAATGCAGGGATGAAAGCTTTATTATTGATAAAAATCACAGCAAGTAGATCTCAATGTTAAACAAAAGTGACATTGTACTGAGGGAGTAGCCAGTGTGAACTGGACATCAAGATTCGGGCAGTAAGACCCCGTGCTGAACAGGCAGACGACTAACTGCAGTTTGGTCGACTCTTCTACTCAAGACTGCCGTTACAGGGAGTTAGAGGTACAGTGCACGTGAGGGGCGGAGACGAGCAACTGAAAACCGTCTACCTTGTAGGGCTCACTGAAGAGAGAGTAACTGGAATTAAATGTGCCATCATCCTGTTGGGTTTCCTGATTTCTTCTTTCTCGTTCTTTCCTCCGTAACGCATTTCTATCTGGTTCATAGACACTGCACCAGGAGAAAGAAAGGAGAACAACCACACATGAAAAAATTAAAGGTAAAAACCCCAATGCAACATTCATTTGAGTGCAAAAGAGGGTTTATGGACAAATGGCGATGAAAACAAGAACATGGATCAGACTGAGGGCATACAACTGGGCAGTGAGAGCTTGGGTACCTGCTAATTAAATTCTGCAGGGGGAAAATAACTCTTAGGACACGTTCCAACCAGTAGTAGACTTCTCTGATAAGTGAAAGAGGAACTATCTAAGCAACTTTGACAGGAGAAGACTGAAAGTAATCTTAAGGCAGACGGTAATTACAGCGATGGGTAAATAGAAATTATGAGCATATTTCCTCTTATGACACAGCCTCTGAGTGTTATATGGGTATGCTCTTGTATTTTTTTTCTTTCTTTTTTTTTTTTTGGCATGACTGTGTTTCTGTAGTGATTCTTTCATTAACTAGCTCCCTAAAGAGCTGTTAAAACTCCATGCTGCAGTGGTTTTCACAGTTATGAGCCTTCTTCTGATCTCTGTTAATCAGTCAAGTCGTCAAACGACTACTGAATCAATTCTTCCTTCTGATATATTTGACACTATCACTCCTCCTAACTATGAAAAATGAGACAGGAGGAAGGGGTATAGGCAGTGAAGGGAGAGAACAGAAACTGAATTATGTTGTGTCATCCAGGAACTCGGCCTTTTTGTTGAAGAAAATTAATATCTATTCTCCCAAAATATAATTATGAAGTGGCCAGATACGAGATAACTGGAAGAACTAAGGAAGAAATAAAGTGTTCCTTCCCCCTAATAAGGAGAAAATAAAGGGGCTAATTCAGCTAGTGATAAGGAAATGACGCTGCTTACTAAAGGAAGGAAATACACTTGTTTTTTTGGCTCTCTGGATGACGAAATCTGGTCTCAGTGTAGGCAACAGAACTAACACTAACAATCAGAAAGAACTAACACATCCCTCAAAATAAGCACTGACCTCGTTTCCTAGCAGAAGCATCTAGTTTAAATGACCTTGCCATCACTTTTCTTAAAGCTCCTGCTTGGTCTAGTGGGCATATGCCCAAGCTGGGAGGCAGGACACCCACCAACTACTATGGTTCTCCCCTGACCAGTGACATGATGATGGAAAAGCCACTCAATCTCTCTTATCCCAGTGTCTTCACTATAAAGCAGGTATGTTTTATGGTATTGTTATGAGGTTTAAACACGAAAGTAATCTATAAAGGCTTTGGAATAGCTTCAGGAGCCACAAAATCCAATGTATTGCTTTTAAAATATTGTCAATAATAAAAGGATCTGTGGTTTCAAAGGAACTTATAAAAATAGCGATTTTTAAAGCTAAATAGCTATCTTTAGAAGAAGAGAGTACTTCTGTCATGTAGCTGTAGGGGACACAAATAAAATAATTGTAAAATAAATACTGCTTATCTTAGCTCTGCCCATGCAGCCAGGATATACTTTAAATTCACTGTCTATGGGGTGATGCTAAACATGCTTCTGGCAAGGCTGCTACATCACCTAAGGCATTTAATTTCAATTTAAGATTAGGGGATGTTAAAATATCTAGAACATGAAGACTATTAGCATTTTAATTCATCTTTAGTACATTACCCAAAGTTATTAGATTTTAGAGTCCAACCAATGACCTTCATATAAAGGGAAGCTGTGGCCTCTGGAATCTTCTACCCACTGAGAGGCTCTCAGCTCCCACACCACGGTCACTAATAACTCTCTGGGGTGGCTGTGGCAACAGTGACCAGTACGAGGGAGGCACGAGATGGAAATAACACTCTTATTCGCGGAACCAGGCTTCAAGTTCAAAGGAGAGGGCAAGATGGTGCTGTCCTGCTCATGGACATCTGTAATGTGAAACCCCAGCTTTTGGTAACAGTCCATGGATTTCAAATGGAGACTTTCCCAAGGACACAACTCATGCTATGGATGGGTATGAAGTGGGCTTTAATCAACAGGAGAATTCTCACTCTATGTTGAACTTCTCACTTTTGGACCAATAGTGGCATTTGCAGTGAAAACAATGAGTTTGCGCTGCACACATGGCAGCTCCTCCCCTCTGCAGTGTGCACAAGCATCTGTGACATGCCTATGGTGCCGAACGTCACATAAACACGCTCGCTACCCTCAGCCAGGTCAAGCCAACCAAACACACAAGACTGATGTGATGCACAAGGTGGCCTGATATAAGGTGGAACAGGCAGTGGTCATTTAAGATGATTTATGGGCTTCTGATAAAGCCCCATGCCCCAAATAGTACCTCCTGCATCTGCTGGCTGATGACTGAAATTCCACAACTAGAGAGTCATTCCTCTGGCTTAAGATGTCTTCACCCCTGTAAGAAATACAAACACCACAAGAAGGGAAAACACTTTAACCCTGACTGGCCTTTAGTATTTTCATGTGCATGAGTTTGTCACCATTTCTCCCAAAGGCCAAGGGGAAAGGGCACGAGAACAGCAGAGTCCAAAGAGGGTCCAAACAGGAGGTGTGATGAAAAAGGGATGGCAGTGGTAGAGTGTAGCAATGAAAACCAATGTATAAATTCTGCTTGGTTTGCAATGTGGCTTAAATGTTTAAGACAAAGGCAATAGGATAAAATTCAGAATCAATTAGGCAGATATCAGGCTCAACACATTTCCAGGATCTGGAAGTAAGAACCACAATTTGGAGAAGCTGGAAGTGGAGGAGAAGCTCCTTCTCTTCAACTCAACCTAACTCATTCCCTAACCCCTTTAAGCTTGAAGATACCCAGAGGCACTAGTAAGATGCAGACCACTGCTTGATAAAATCCTCTAATGAGGTACCACCTGCATAACCAGCCTATGGCTTCTTTCTAATACTGAGGGCTGAACAACCTCAGGACCATTTACAGAAATTTTTACTTATAGCAATGCACTGGCTATCTTTTTACAGTGCCACCATAAAGCTGTGCCATGCCGCCACACCATCAGATGGAGCCAGAATGACCCAAAAGGATGAAAATGATCCCCACTTCTTCAACGGAGGGTAAAGGAAACTCAAAAGCAGAGGCAATGCTTCTCTGATGCCTTCTCTTTGGTTTCTCTCTTGCTTCCTTGTTGGGAGCTCTGCAGCCTCCACTGAGCATTGTACCTACTGAAGGCAACCTACCTATTCTCTCCCCTTCACTAAACCACAACCTCCACATGTCATTTCAATGTCGTTTCAGGCCTAGAGAGTTAATGTCACCTGCTTGAAGTAAATGTCATTGTTAGAGAAAGTCTGGACTTCCCACCCCCCTTCTCTCCGTAAGCGTCTGAACATTCACCTTTCCACCAACACTACATGTTTTGCCTCACAAAGACAGTAGCTTCTCAACAGTGAGTCCACCATCCCACTAATTACAAGGGAAAATTGTGCAGATACTTACAAGCCCACACAATGCTCTTCTCTTCATCTCTCACCATGAAAGCTCAGCCCTCTTCATTCCTCTGCTATTTGAGCAATGTGAAGACCATGCCATTTGCTTTAGAAGCAAAGAAACCTTTCCCTTGACATGCTGAAGTCAGGTCAGCTTCCCTGGGGATGGCTGACTTAAGTTTTAGAGAATTCTGATTCCTGGCATGCCAATTTATACGTTAAACTCAATAAGCGCTGCGTGTGATGAGCTAAGTTTCTTTGTTACTAGCAGATGGTAAAATCTCTATCATCTGTAAAGTTGTTCCCTATTTCCAAGAAAATTACAAGAATCACAATCCTCAAATATATGTCACCAAATGTATTTATTTATTTTGCATGAAAGTGGAGGCAGCCAACTGCTACAATATTATTTATTATTTATTGCAGATGCATAACATTCCCAGAACATGAACCTTTTTAATCAACTCCTTTTAAAAGAATTTTTTAAAAATAGCAAATGATAACATGCAGCAAAAACATTTCTAATCCTTTCTCACTCATTTGATTTTAATCTATAAGTTGAGGTATCTTGTAGGGCTCAAGCCAAAGCCTAATACGGTGGTTAAATAGAAATAGATGTCTGAACATGAAATCATTATCATTTCCAAAATTAATCTATTCTTGATCATATGGAAATAGCATGAAACTAAATAACAGCAATACCTGTGAGCCTAATATCCCTGCCACTGAGCTCAAAACATTACACCTACATGTCTCTTAATTATTCCTCACAATGTCCTTTGGAGAAAGACAGGGTGGTGAATATTATTCCTAGGTTAACTTTTTTAAAGATCAAGGAACTTAGGATAAGAGTTGATCATCACAACAATGTCATAAACAGGACATCATGTAGAAGAAATAGCAACGACCAAAATACTTTAATCATCTCTACCCAGAGAAGAAGAGCTGCCCATGAGCAAAGAGGAGGCCACGCTTCCTAAACCCTGATGTCTACAAGCCCAGTATTAACAGAGTTTGAGTATCCGTTATCTGAAAGGCTTAGGACCAGAAGTGTTTCAAATTTTAGATTTTTTTGGAGTTTGGACTATTTACAGAATACATATCAGTTAAGCATCCCTAATGTGAAAACCTAAAATCCGAAACACTCCAATGAGCATTTCCTTTGAGCATCACATTGGCACTAAAAAGTTTCAGATTTGGAGTATTTCAGATTTCAAATTTTCAGGTTAGGGATACTCGACCTGTAATTAGTGAATATGAGCCCCACGGAAGTAAAACAGGAAGAATGAAACAAAAGGAAGCTATTTCCCATTCAGAGGGAACCACTGGCAGAATTCTGGAATAAAGTCTTAGCTGTTACAATTTTTTACAGCCCCCAAGCAACAAAAGACAAAAATCAGTCTCTTTCCACAGCACGTGTGAGTGCGCACACACACATACCCAGCATATCCATGGAACCCTAGGGTTGTGGAATAGAGGACAGATGAGTGAATAAGGAAATTATGGATTCTAAAGTAAGCCAGCTAGGGCTGATGGTATTACCATTTTCATCAAATGCTACCCATTCATCAGCCTGCTCCAATCTCTCCCCAGGCTGTCCTCCTGGAGGAAAAGGTGCTGCAGCTAGTACAGCCACCCTCCAGCTGAGCCCTGGTTGACCCAGCAGACCCAACTGGCCAGGAAGGACTGTCCCCTCCCTCCTGCACCCATCCACATGCAGCCTGCAAGAGCTGAATGCTGGCTCCAAACAGACTGCATTTCCCATGCAGGAGACTTTCAGCCAAGGGTATAAACGAAGTCCGTTGCACCCCTTGACTAGAATCATCAAAGTGTTTTATTCTTGCATTAAAAAATATTACCCAACCTACCAGTTGGTGTGTTCCCAGGGTTGGGGTCTAAGAAACAAGAAGAGAATGAATAACCTCTCACCTATCTTTTAGAGAAAGTTATCATGTTATCCATGTTTTAAAACATAGTCCTTTTCGAATAGCAGAAATACAATTCAATTTAGTCTAGAGGCATTTCCTGAATGCCACTGTGTAAGATGCTGGGGAGACAACCAGAGCTGTGAATCACCAGTCGTGCTGCTGAGAAGCTAATGGTCTAGGTGTGAGAGAAAGGCAGAGAAGGAAGAGGGGCCTGTCCGTAAACAGACAGTGTAGGCGCCCTCGGTCAGGGCACTGGCAGAAGGGAGCACAGGGACTGAGCATGGCTTCCTGCAGGAGATCAGCATTGAGCTGGGTCTTGAGAAAAGGGCAGGTGGAGGAGAAAAAGGAAAGAGGAAGGGCTCAGAGGTACAAGATACACAGATCACTATCAAGTGGCCTTTTGATAGTCGGAAGAAGTGACCTTTGCCCTCCCCATACCATATTCCTGCTTTAACAAGCTGGAATTCCCCATTTAAAGTTTCACTCCTTTGCTCTGGGCCACTGCTAACCTGTCATTGCTACCTCACTCTAAATAGGTCCCTCTGATCCCCTCCTGAAAGCAGATTTACCTTGGAGTAAATCAGTAAAGGGTGGACACGGAGGAAAACCCAGAGAAACCCTCTCCCTTTCTTTGCAGTTTGCATCAGGGCTGCCCCTGAGCAGTCTGGCCACAGAGGAGACAATCTTTTCGGACACTTCGAGTTTGGGACAACATGCTAATGTCCCCCCCAGGCATGGACTGAAGCCAAGAAGGCTTCAGGAAAAAGGAGAGGAGAGGAGGAGGGTGTTTTCCAGCAAGTCTACTGCTCTCTGGAGCTGCAACATCAGAAACTATGTATAATTAAATAAATGTAATCAAACACTCCAAAATTACAACAATTGTTTTAAGTCTAATGAGTCAAACTAATTAACATTTTTTGTTATTTAAAAAGCAAATGATAAAATAACAACAGTCCTTCCTTAGAGAAAAGCAAGGCAGTTGAAGTATACAGGGAGTCATCAAAAAGTTCAAGGAAAGATTCATATTACTTTTTTCTTCTTCCTGGTGGCTGGCTGGTACAGGGTGTATTATCTTCTAATTCTATTTTTCCATGAACTTTCTGAAGTACCCTTTTACTTGCAAATTCCCTCCTTAGTATGATGACAAAGCTGGTGGACTGAAAGGCAAAAAGGTAGTCAGGAAGTGAGCAGGTTATAGAAGCAACTCAGACAGAAGGTGAGGCTGAAGTTAGAGCTTGGTGAAGAGGCAAGAATCTCTCAACTGGAAGTCCTTCAAGGTCTTGAGTTGTTGTGGTCATGGTGCTAGACAGGTGATGGTGGTGGTGACAGTGGTGGTGGTTGTGATGATGGCGATGGTGGTTGTGATGATGGCGGCGGTGGTGGTGGTAGTGGTGGTGGTGATTGATGGTGGTGGTAATGGTGGTGAGGGCAGCGGTGGTGGTGATGGTGGTGGTGACAGTGGTGGTGGTGGTGGTGGTGGTGGTGGTTGTGATGATGGTGGTGGTGGTGGTGGTGGTGGTGGTGGTGGTGGTGGTGGTGGTGGTGGTGGTGGTGGTGGTGGTGGTGGTGGTGGTGGTGGTGGTGGTGGTGGTGGTGGTGGTGGTGGTGGTGGTGGTGGTGGTGGTGGTGGTGGTGGTGGTGGTGGTGGTGGTGGTGGTGGTGGTGGTGGTGGTGGTGGTGGTGGTGGTGGTGGTGGTGGTGGTGGTGGTGGTGGTGGTGGTGGTGGTGGTGGTGGTGGTGGTGGTGGTGGTGGTGGTGGTGGTGGTGGTGGTGGTGGTGGTGGTGGTGGT